TCCAATTCCTTAAGGAATGCCGTTCTTCCAGATTGTCCTTGGATATCATTGCAAGCAGGCCACACCCCTAGGGAAACTCCCCTTGGGCAGACTGGCCACTCAGAACTCAGTCATCTGATCCCATCATGGGAACAACCACACAGAACTGGGGTCCAGCCAAGTTGACACACAGCTCCAGCTATCACACTCAGGGAGCTGCAAACATTTCAATTACATTCTGACAGGAACATCATTACTTTAGGAAAAGTTCTAAAACATCATCCAGGAAAAAAAAATCTACATTCCAAGTAGCTCCCCACCACAGCGCTGGTGTAACACCCTTCCACCTGAAGGCAGGCCAGGTGCGCTCCCTACAGTTGCACACCACTCGTCATTTCCTACCCTCCCCCTGCAAGCCACCCTGGCTTCCTCAGGTCCTTTAAGCCTTACAGAAGGAAAGAGCTCCAAGAACCACTTCCTTCAACAAGTCAAATGACAATATGCTTTGAAAACATCTACAAAGTATAACTTCTGTTTTGCACCAACAAGAACATGCTGTTCCTATGGCAACAATGAAGGCAGGCTCAGGAATCTATCAGATGAAGAGGAAGGACCTCCATCTTTGGGAGAGGCTCAGGTGCTCGTCCAGTTCCTCCCGCCTCTGGACAGGTGAAGAGCTGCCCCACATGTCTGAACTGGTGGGGTTCCAGCACCAGGGCCACAGTCTGCACCTCACTACAGCAAAGGTGCCACAACCACAAGCTCCTTCCTGAAGTTCGGGGTCCCAGGCTGCCGTCGGACTCGACATCACCACTCTTACCTGGTACAAATGGTGAACGTGCTAAGCTGCTAACCACAAGGCTGGAGGTTCGAGTCCACCCAGGGGAACCTTGATTAAAGGCCTGCCTATCTATTTCTGAAACCTCAACCACGGGAAACCCCACAGAGCACAGCTTACACGGGCACTCATCAGGGTGCCGTGAACCGGACTCATCTCAGAAGCACCTGGTTTTTCCCTTACAAACTTCACCTCATTTGGAGGGAAACAAAGTCAGCCACTTCTGACCTCAGTGCAACAGTCCCAGGCACCTGTTACCACACTGCCCCTTCACGGAAGGCCAGTTGGCCTTCAAGCCTAGAACTCTGTGCAGCCAGTGGCCCGTCTCTCCCTGGTTAATAGCAAGAATCACAGGGCCCCAAATCAAATCAGGAAAGCCTGCAGGATTCAGAAGCCAGAGGACAAGAATTAACCAACAGGAATAAGGAGTCAAGTTAAGGACAAAGCACCTTCCCCAAAGGTCTGAAAATCTACAGGAGCCTGGCTTTTGTCACACAGCTCACAAACTCGTTCAAAATGGCTCAAGAACAATTCGTGCTCATTAACCATTACCCTGTTCTCATCACATGAGAATTTAAAAGGCAGCAAAAAGCTGTCATGGTTTTAAGTTTCCACCTGTCATTTTCACAATGAAAGTCCCTTTTAAAATACACAAAAGCCCACTGGGCCACCTCTGTTCCCAGAGTTGTGACCAGCTGGAACTCTTGAACCCGGGCACACGTCCCTGAGGAACAGGGGGCGGAGACTTCACCATTATGCTCCTGCAGGATGATCAACCATGGAGTCTCCCTCCAGTTCTTCAGGAGAAATCAAGAACGGTGACGTGGCGGCACGCCCCACGACTGGGCAGTTATGAGAATGGTCTGAGTGCGCACTGACAGCACATGTTCAGAAACCAACACGAAGAGAACCCTTCCTTCCTTACCTTGGAGAAGGAGGGGGACACGCTATTTCCACCGTCTGAGTCTTTTTAGCATCCAGCGTCTGGAAATGGGCTATCAGAGCTTCAAGGTCTTCCTATAGGCAAAACAGCGGTCAGTGTAAGATGGTCTCTTCTTTAACCAGAAACCCACCAGGGCGACCAATGCCTGGGTGGTCTCCCCCCTGTCCACCTGATCTGACGTGGGTACCGTAACATTCACGCAGTCTAACAACTCCCCCGTTTGAAAGACAAGGAATTTGACACATTCACAAACACTCAGGGCTTGACCCTAAAGAGAGCTCTCTAGCCGTCTAGACCCAGAGTGTTCCAACACCTCTTTCCCCACCCACCAAGGGCCTTCCCACTTAGACAAGCCCGCCCTGAAGTCACTGTCAATTCCTGAGACCACCTCTCCTAAGTCCAGTCCCGACCTGCACACCACACTATTTGGGGTTCTGTACAGTGGGGTTTGATCATTTTATTTCTTTTTTCATCCCCTCCCCATGCCCCAAACAATAAAGATCCGAGAGAGCACAGCTGCCTAGGTGCCTGCACAGTGGGCTCAGGGTCTGTGCAGTCAGTCAGTGGCCAGGGGTCTCTATTACACCACAGCCGATGCAGGACACGGTCTCCCTAGCCCAGTGATTCAGGACCTGCCTGTCAGCGGGGAAGCCCCTCTCCATTCTTCGTCTCTTAACTCTGACTCCCTCATGCTGGGACCTGGGAGCTCTCACCCTGCCTCCTCTACTGGCTGCCCTCTGCTCTGCAGGCAGGGGAGGCGGAGTTTTCACTTCCTGACCACCTCTCCTCCCTCGGCGTCTCCCCAGCCACATTCCCCACCTGCCCCCTCACCCTCCAAGCTCCCCTGGCTTCCACAACTCCATTAACCAAACACCCCACTCCCTAAGCCTGAAGGGCCTTACTGTCTCCACACTGCACCCCTTCCCAGAACTACCTCAGCCCTACTGCAAATTCATCTCCCTGGAGCCAGCCAAGGTTGGATGCTCACAGCCGACTCACAGGTATGTTGACTTGCTTTTAAATATATTATGTAACTGAAGACCTCCAAAAAGGTAGAAGACAAGAATTCGAGGCACCTACCCCCCAACTCAGGAACTAAAGCATCAGTGACACAGTTGATGCTCCCATTGCCTCTGACGTAACCACTATCTGGAGTATGATGCTCAAATATTTTTTTCGACTCTTATTACATAGGTATGGTCCCTAAACCATCTATACTATCATTTCAGTCTTGTGTTTCACATCGATGTTTCTGTATTTTATATGCTTCTGCAATGCTTTCTTGGTCAACACTGCTGGACAGCTTGATACACATCAACGCTAAGTCCACTGATTTTCATGGTAGCACAGTTATGACTCGATCACATCCAGTCTCCTGCCGATGAACAAGTCTGTGCTGGTACACACAGTACTGTCGTGGTCAGCCCTGTGCCCATGTCCTGTGTAGGGGAGTCTCTGTGGGGTACATCCTCAGGCATCTGAACGGCCAGGTCAGACACTGACACACTGGATTCCAAAGAGATCCTACCCTTCCATGCTCCCCAGCAGCCCACACGGTGCCCTTCATCCAGCCCTTCCATGTGGGTGAACCACATCCCTCACAGGACACTCACTGGCCACCAAAAACACGTTTCCTGAGTGAGCAGAACTACAGAGAGACCCAGGATGTAGAGGTAAGTACTGGCAGAAGTTACACCCCACTCCCTAAGTGTTTTGAGATTCTGGGTGCTGGTGTAGTGTCCATCCCCTCAGAGACAGTCTCCCTGGCAGCAGAGAGAAGGCAAGGTGAGGAAGAAATGGACTCCAGTAATGAGGCCAGGGTCTGTGGGGAAAGCTGCTTGTCAGTGCTGGGGGACAACTGGTGTGGACACCCCTGTCTGTTCACAGCTGGCAATTACCTGCCAAGCCTCTCATACAAGAATTTCTAAACATGTATGGTACACTGAGACACAACCACAGGAGGCAGGACATGCATTCCTCAGCAGCAGATGCTCTGGAGGTGAATGACTAGAGTTCAAATCCCACCCCTTCCACTTCTTGCCAATTAATCCAGTAGCCAGCCCCACCCCCATTTCCCCACCCCCCACTGAATACTGAGGAAATCCTCAGCAGACAAAAGGGTAGCTGTGAGCTGGGCAAGCAGCACTCCTGCGTGGATGAAAACGCCCTCCCACTTGCCCCAGCATCACAATCACTGGGTGGGGGCGGGAAGGGGTCTGAAGCCCAGTCTGTGAAAGCCTCCCCAAGGCGCCAACAGCTGGCAGACACCAAGGAGTCTGTTATGGGAAGAGTGTAGCTGGGGCAGGGGAAAATAGAAAGAACGTGGCATATCTGAGACCCCAGAATAAAGTCATTGTGGCCAAAGGGGAGATGCTGGGGGTTGGGGGAAGGCAGAGGCCAGGTCATACAGGGTCTTTCAGGACAGTACTAGGACTTTAACAGAGGAATGTCTGTGAGACAGCTAAACACAGACGTCAGTTGTTGTTACTTGCCGTGGAGTCGGACTTGACTCCTAGCGACCCCTCCTTGGGCTTCTGAGGTGGTATCTCTACAGAAGTAGATTGCCCAAACTTCCTTCCGAGGACTGGCTGGTGGGTTTGAACAGCCAACATTCTGGTCAGCAGTCAAGTGCCTTAGGCACTATGCTCCCAGAGCTCCCAGACGTCAGTTAGGTGATGTGATACATGGATCTTGTGGAAGGCAGGACTCTAAAATGTCCCCAAGACTCCCAATCTGTATAATGCCCAGGACAGTGAAAAAAATATGGCGGGATGTCACTCCCATGATGGTATTAAATGACACAGCTGACCTTAAGAAAAGGATGAGCCTTGGTGGGCCTGGCCTAATCAGGTGCCTCCTGATGAAAGAGACTCTAAGTGTGAGAGGGACTCAGCGTGGAGGAGATTCTCCACGGCTGGCTGGGAAGATGGAGCGGGCCTCCTGGCAAGGCATGCGGGCGGCCTCCAGGAACTGAGAGCAGCCCTGGCTGGCAGCCGGCGACAGACACGGGAACCTCGGACCTAAAAGGGCCAAGACACTGAACTGACGTAGACCTGCGAGAGCCCAGAGACCTCAGTCCCACTATGCCAGCTCTCTCCAGAACCTGCTCACCGACAGAGGACACACGGTGGGGAGGGTCTTCTCACTCAGTCCCACGGGAGGCTCACCCTTCAGGGTGGCTGTGAGGATTACAGGGAACCCCAAGCCCTCACATCTTGCAAGAGGCGCGGGCGCAGCTCGCCTCGTGTTGCCCCAGCCTTCTCCACCACCCTGCCTCCACCCAGTGGGAGAGGAAGAAGTCAGAACCGAACAGCACAGGGGTGGCCAGGACACACGCCCAGCGAGCACTCTGACAGGCGGCGGCGAAGGCTCAGCCCAGGGCGAGTGCACGGCGTGCGACAGGGGCGCAGCGCGCGCGCACTGCTAGCGAGGGCGGCGGGGCAGCCGCCGTGCGTTCCCCTCCCCCGTGACACTGCCCCAGGAGACAGGCGGCGCCGCTTCTGCCGTTGGGCAGATGACAAACCTGAGTCCCGAAGCTCGTCAGGACCTCGGGAACAGGGTGTGGCCAGCCGTGGACCCCACTCACCTCCTCCTTCCGCGAGCGCTTGGACACCTTCTTCTCCATCTTGGCGGCCGTCTTCTCGGCCCCGCGGCCTTTTTTCTCTTTCTTGCTTTTCTTCCCCATCGCGCCGGGTGTGAGGGAGCCGAGCGCACCGCCCGCCGGAAGCAGGTGCTCGCCAGGAAGCGGCCCCGGCGCGTGGTTAACACGTAACTTCCGGCCCCGCCACCGCAGCCTGCTTCCGGGTGGAGGCGCCAAGAGAAGAGAGGGTAGTCTGCCCTCTGCCGGACGCGGTCTCAGTGGCCAGCTTCTCAATGTCTTTAGAGACCAGGTGGACACCTTTGCGCTCTGGCAATGTGTCGGTTAAGAAAATGGCCTGCCCAACCTGAAACTAGCTGGGCGCTTGCCTCCTTTGTGTGTTCCCATTTATTCCGCCCTGCGCTACCGGTCCTGGCCTGACGCCGTGGATGGTCCTTAAACGGTCCTACACGACGGGGCATCCGTGCAGTGTAAGGGCACCCGCCCTGCAGGGCGGTGGCCCCGTGTGAATGCCCGCGCAGTAGTTACAAGCTCCATAAGCTGTGGCAAAGTGCTTAACCCCCTCAAGAGTTCCAGCAGGTTTCTTATTAGCCCCACTGGACACTCACCCGTCGGGGTTGTTGTTGTTGTTGTTATGTGCCGTCGAGTCGGCCCCGACTCATAGCGACCCCTCCTTGGGTTTCCGAGGCAGTATCACTACGGAAGTAGGATTGCCCAACCTTCCTTCCGAGGAATGGCTGGTGGGTTTGAACCGCCAGCCTTCTGGTTAGCAGTCAAGTGCTTTAGCCACTATGCCACCCGTCGGGGTGGCGGTGTACTAATTGTCTTTGAAAGATGAGGGAAGGTGGGAGCTCTGGTAGCATAGTGGCTAAAGCACTTGACTGCTAACCAGAAGCCTGGCGGTTCAAACCCACCAGCCACTCCTCGGAAGGAAGGTTGGGCAATCTACTTCTGTAGTGATACTGCCTCGGAAACCCAAGGAGGGGTCGCTATGAGTCGGGGCCGACTCGATGGCAAACAACAACAGCAGCAACGTGGCCCAATGCCCTACAAAAGTATTCATATGCTTAAAAAGCTGGCAGACATTAGATTAAGATAACTGCTTCCCTCAGCCTGAGAAAATGTGTTTGGAGCTAAGGTTATTGTGCTAAATGAGAAAACAGCCCTTGCCATTCGACTATCTATGTGACTTTCCACAAAGGTCCTCATATAGGAGACATTTGTCTCTCGATATCCAGAGAATGTTGCTGTTGGATGCAGTCAACTCGGTTCCGACTCATAGTGACCCTTTGCACCGCAGAATGAGACTTGGCTTGGTCCTGTGCCCTCGCACAATCATTCCCAGGTGTGAGCCCGTGGCTGCAGCCGCTGGGTCAATCCAGCTGATGGTCTTCCCCTGTTTTGCTAACCCTCTGGTTTCCCAAGCATGATGTTCTTCTTCAGGGACCGGTCCCCGCTGTTAACTGGTCCAAAGCAGATGAGACCAAGTCCTGCCATCCTGCTTCTAGGGAGCATCTGGCTGTACTTCTCCAAGATGGATTTGTTTGTTCTTCTGTCAGCTTATGCTAGCCACGTTCCGCATTCTTTGCCAACACCGGAATTCAAAGGCATCAGTTCTTTAGTCTTTCTTTTTCATTGTCCAGCTTTCACATGGCTCAGGTCAAGTGTATCTTAAGTCGTCAACACTTGAAAGACGTCTTTTATAGAAAATTTGCCCAATGCAATATGTCATTTGATTTCTTGACTTTGGGTTCCATGGGCATTGATTGTGGCTCCAAGTAAAAGGACCTCCTTGACAGCTTCAATACTTACTCCATTGACATGATGTTGCTTATTGGTCCAATTGTGAGGATTTGTGTTTTCTTTCTGTTGAGGTGTAAACCATATAGAAGGTGGAGATGGCAAGACTTCATCTCACGTACTTTGGAAGTGTTACCTGGAGGGAGCAGTCCCTGGAGAAAGACATCATGCTTGGTGACAGAGGGTCAGTGAAAAGGGGGAAGCACCTCAGTGAGACGGATTGACACAGTGGCTGGAACAATGGGCTCAAGCATAGCAACAATTGTGAGGATGGTGCAGCACACAGCAGTGTCTCGTTCTGTTCTACATAGGGTCTCTAGGAGTGGGAACCAATTCAGTGGCACCTGCTGGAATGATTTCTTTTAGAAGGATCAGCATAAGGCTGGTCTCTATGAGGTGGAGGTTAAAAATGTCCCAAATGTCCAACTTTTGCAAACTGCGGTGCCACCCCATCATTTCTGACACCTCCTCCTCCTCCTCCTCCTCTTCTTCCTCCCCGCAGTACTCTCCCTCCTGTCTTAAGTTTCGGTATTTCACTGCAACATCTCACAGAATTCACAGACTGCCCAGGAAATGGCTCACATGGTGGTGGAGGCTGGGAGGCTGGCCAGTCCCAAGTCCATGGGTAGGTCTGGAGGATTCTCCCCACTCATGTGGTTGCAGGGCAGGCGAACCCAAATCGGTGGTCAGATGACCTGCTGCTGTCTTCAGTCCAGGGGTGAGATAAAGAACCAAACACAGGACTGGAGCCAGAGAGAAAGCTTTTCCACAACAGTCACGTATATACCCCCAAGGAAGCTAAGCGGGGAGACTTGATTCTCAGTCTCTAGCAAGGTGAGACTCAAGATACGTTCCACCCTAAACCGGCAGGGAAAAACGAAAGCAAACCCACAGCCATTGAGTTGATTACGACTTGTTGTTGTTGTTACATGCTGTCGAGTCGTCTCCAACTCATAGTGACCTTACGTACGTTGGGTTTCCAAGGCACTAAATCATTACAGAGCTAGATTGCCTCATCTTCCTTCCACAGAGCAGCTGGTGGGTTTGAACTGCCAACCTCTGGTTAGCAGTCAAATGTCTTAGGCCCTGTACCACCAGCGCTCCTTAAACAGGCATTGAGAGTATGATTTACAAACCATCACAGAGTGCAGGATGAAGGCCAGAAGGACCGCGTTAAGCAGGTCGCTGCAGCACCTAACAACACAGCGATGCCTCGGGGTCATCCTCGAGCTGTCCGTTTAATTTCTGGTGACTTCCAGTCTTTCTTGATTCATACTTCATCTCTCCCACAGACCAATTACTAACGGATATTTGCAGTGTTTCTTCTCGTTTCAAGCCAGGCCACATCAGCGCATAGAGATTTCGAAGGCTTTACTCCACCCACATCATTAAGGTGAACTCCCACTTTGAGGAGGCAGCTTTTCCCCCGTCGTATTTTGAGTCCCTACTGTAGGGCTTTGTATCAGACGATGTTCAGCCGCTGTCCACAAGGTCTTCCTTGCCAGCGTGTTCAGAACTAGACTGCCAGGTCCTTCCTCCATTCTGTCCTGGTGTGAAGCTCTGCTAGGTGACCCTGCTGGTATTTGAAATACCAGCGACACGACTTCCAGCATCGCAGCGACACACGAGCCACCACAGTGTGAGAAACTGGCAGCTGGGTGGTGGATTGGAGGACAGGTCAATGATCCTACCCTCAGAGTAGTCAGTGTGTTAGTCCCGAGAAACTGATGAGTGAGATTCAACTGCCTGCTAAGACTGGACTCCAGTAACATAGTAAAGAGGAAAATGATCTGTAGACCATGGACTGCTCTGGTTTGAACAGAGCAGAGTGAAAATGCTCATCGGTAGTTAGAAGACGTCATCTTTGACCTTATAGTGAAGGAAATAGGGCAGTTTAAGAACCAGGATGAGCAAAAATTTGGTGAAGAGAGCACAAATCGGGAAGTGGTCTAGTTTCTTCCTTAGTGGGTGAACTGCCAAGGGCTCTGCCTTAAAAAAATTACCTCAGATCCAGTCAGTTACTAAAAAGTGAGCAAGCGGAGAGAGATTTGTTTCCAACCAACTCCAAGCCTTGTCCACAGCCTCGTTCTTTAAGAAGAAAAATGAAATTTGGGGAAACAGTGGAAGAGAAGATAGAGCAGGATTAAGGCTACCGTGACCTCAAGCATTGCTGATGGGAGACTAGGAGAACACGCACGAGGTTAGAAGGAAAACATAGAAAGTTGATTAGGAAGAAGCCGGGCCATTGTCATCGAACAATTTGTGTGGAAATTGTTCAATGGTAACCTAAATGGCTCTGTAAACATCCTTCCACTGAAAACACAGTAAAATTTTATTCTAGAAAAATCAAAATCCAGCTGCTTGGCAGTGCTAGCCACATTTCAAGAGCTCGATAGGCACCTGTCGCTACCGTGTCAGCACAGACAGTCTCTTCATCACACAAAGTCCACTGCACAGCACTGCCCTTGAGACTTCGTGGGCTTCAAGTGGGCTGCATGGGACCCATTTATCATGAAAAGAACAGCAGCAGCTGGGACTTTTCAAAGAAACTGGCCCCTCAGGCTCCAGACTTACCATCTTCAGAAGACCGAGTCCTCTCATATAGCTGACACCCTGGAGGAGTGGTTACTCACCTTCTGTGGGATACGACTTTCAGAACAGACCTAATCTGTCTGTCTGCTTCATAAGAGACCTAATCTGTCTGTCTGCCCAGAGAATACTGGGCAACCTTGAGGCAGTGCACTTGAAGCAAGAAGGCCCTTCAGTCATAGCCATCTAAGTGCAAGGCCTTCCAGGGTCCCCTCATAAGGGCTGTAAATGGGGACGCATACTCACTGTTGCAGATTTAGAAGTCTACAGCAGACACAGAGTTTAATACTTTTATTATCCAAAAGAATCTTGAAGCTAAATTGGAAGGCTCTTGGATTATGTGTCACGGTGATTTACGTGTGGTTAAGATTCTCATTACCGAGAAAGAGAGACTAGGACATTTTAAATGAGAGCACATCCTAAAATAGTAAGAAGATTAAGTACCGGGCCCTATTTTAGTGAAATGCACATTTTTGAAACTTTGATGATCTTACATCTAATGCATCATTAACTTTGAGTGACTCTCTTCTGCGATCAGGCGCCCTCTGCTGTCTTCTAGTTGAAGTCCAGAAGAGGAAAAAAAAACAAACCACTATTCCAGGAGATAAAATTGAAGGAAAGTATTATTTTGGCTATTCATAAGGTTTTCATGAATTATGGGAAGATATCAAGAACATTATCCATGAAGAAAGCAAGAG